GCCTTGGTTATAGCCTTGGTTATAGCAAAGCCTTGGTTATAGCCTTGGTTCTGGGGGCTTGGTTATAGCCTTGGTTCTGGGGGCTTGGTTATAGCCTGTACAAGGCTATAGCACCAAGCCGATAACCTTGGTTATAGCCGTGTACGGGTCTGGGCTTGGTTGAAGGGTTGGTTATAGCCTTGGTTATTGCCTAGTACGGATTTCGTCGCTCACCTTGGTTGTAGCCTTATACGAATTGGTTGCAGGGCAATTATGCCACCCGACCCCAACAGTATGTCGCATCTCTCGTTCTCCCTTCTTGTGCACTTCTTCTGATGTCTTGAGTTCATCCTGCAGGCCCCTGAAAGACGAGGGCGCGAGCGTCTTTGCAGCCATCTTCCCGCAGGCAGGGTGCAAGGAAGAGGGAAGGAAGGACAGGAAGGGAAAAGAATAGGGAGCAAAGGAGAGGGAGGGAAAAGAAGAGGGAGGGAAGAAGAGGGAGGGAAGATTAGCGAAGATGTGCCAGCAGAGGAGCAAAATGCCAGTCTCACAGCACGCATCTAGCGTGCTCCCAATATCTCCGAGAAAGTCCTCTCCTCCTTTTCCTTAGCGAGGAGCGCAGACCAAGCACCCTACCTGTCAGCATACACCAAGCAATCCCAGAATAACCGATAAATCACCCAATCGATGGAACCATTGAAACACTCGATCAATCGATCAATCAATCAATCAATCAAACGCATCAATCAATCAATCAATCAATCAATCAATCAATCGATCGATCGATCGATCGACTGAGCAGTACCGACCGATTGATGGGTATCCACCGATCGATATTAAACGATCCATCGATATGTAAAGATGGATCCATCAAATAGCGATCGATCAATTGGTCGACCAACATCTTAATCAATCAACCCATCAACCAACCAATCAACCGGTCGAAAGCCTACCTGTGCGCAGAGCGATAAGCAATCAATCAAGCAATCAATCGACCAATCAATCAGGCGATCAATCGATCAAGAAAATCACGAAATCAGTCAAGTCATAATCGAGCAATCGATCAACAAGTCAGTCCGGCAATCGACCAATCAATCAGGCGATCAATCAATCAATCAATCAATCAATCAATCAATCAATCAATCAATTAATCAATCAATCAGTCAAGAAAATCAAAAAATCAGTCAAAGTCATAATCGAGCAATCAGTCGAGTAATCGAGCAATCAGTCGAGCAATCGATCAATCAAGTAATCAATAAAGCACTTGACGAAATCGATCAATCGAGCAATCAATCAATTTTGTACCCTACTGACACGAAATACCAATCCAATCAAGCGAAGCGATCAAGCAATCAATCACGCCATCAATGGAATCGTTACCCACGAGGACATACAAGCCACTGAATCAATCAATGAATCAATCAATTAATCAATCAATCAATCAATCAATCAATCAATTGGTCAGTCAAAATTTACCCTACCTTTCAGGCTGTACCAACCAGCCAATCAATCAATCAGTCCATTGAACATTGCCATACCAGTCAGAATCACCCGCCAATCCATCAATGCCACATCAGCAAATCGGAAAAAAAACGACAAAATAATTTAAAAAAAGCACAGATTAGCCAATGGATTTATCAATCGCAAGGAGCTGAGAGACGTCCGTGGCTGGAAAATCGCACCACAGATCCACAAAAAAAAATCCTTAAAAAAAAATCCTTAAAAAAAAAAAAATCGTCATCTAAGAAAGAGTTTCTATGATTAAATTGCATCGGAAGGAAAGACAGGCGAGGGTGAGAGGCTGCTGATTCCCCATCAATAATTCAGTCAGCCACCTACCATACATCTGCTGTATCATCTCGGCCAATATCGATTCATCTCTCCGAATTATACATTTGGGGGGGGAGAGGGCGGAGGGAAGGGCAGCAAAACGGTCAAGTTGCTTTTTTTTGCTTTCCTTTCCTTTTTAAACACGCTCATTGACAAACATATATAGATATATATATATATAGTCACAAACAGAACTGCCCGGTAAATATATATATATATATTGACGATATATATGAATCGATATTGGCCGAGATGATACAGCAGATGTATGGTAGGTGGCTGACTGAATTATTGATGGGGAATCAGCAGCCTCTCACCCTCGCCTGTCTTTCCTTCCGATGCAATTTAATCATAGAAACTCTTTCTTAGATGACGATTTTTTTTTTTTAAGGATTTTTTTTTTTTTTTTTTT